TTTTAAAATTGAGCTTTTGTACATTTTATACAACAGTTCTTAATCAAATTAAGAACCCCTCCCCCATCCATGTCCCCAGACCTCATACATTCTGCCATACATATATATTTTTTTTTTGGTCTTTTGAAGCAGGGTCTCCCTGTACCCCCAGCTGTCCTGGAACTCATTATGTAGACCAGGCTGGCCTTGAACTCACAGAGATCCGCCTGCCTCTGCCTCCCAAGTGCTGGGACTACAGGCATGCACCACCATGCCTGGCTTGCCATACATATTAAATCCTATTGAGTCAAGCCTTTGTACCAAGATGTCCTTCAGTGCAGATACATACACTGGAGTCTAGTCAGCCTATCTAGAGATCATAAGTAAGGCCTACTCTCCCTTACCTAGTAGTGATCAATCTCCAACAGTTCCTAGGCTAGGAATCCACCACCACCTATTTCCCTCATTTTAAAAAATATTTTATTTGGCTGGGCGTGGTGGCACATGCCTTTAATCATAGCACTTGAGAGGCAGAGGCAGGTGGATCTTTGTGAGTTCGAGGCCAGCCTGGTCTACATAGTGTGTTTCAGGACAGCTGGGGCTATAAGGAGACCCTGTCTCAAAAAGACAAAAAAAAATTATATTTATTATTTTCATTTTAAGAGTGTAATGCCTGCATGTAGGTAGGAGCACCTGTGTCATGAAGTGCCCACAGAGGTCAGAAGAGGGTGTCAGATCCCCTAGAACTGGAGTTACAGACAGTTGTTACCATCATGTGGGTGCTGGAAACCAAACCTGGGTCCTCTGCAAGAGTAGCCAGCACTCTTAACCACTGAGCCATTTCTCCAGACCCTACTTTTCAAACATTTAAGGGGGCTGGAGAGCTGACTCAGTGGTTAAGACTACTTGCTGTACAATCATGTGAACTAGAGTTCTGATCCCAGCATCCACTGTAACAAGCTGGACGGACAAGTACATGCCAATAACCCCAGATGAAGACAGGAGGATCAGTGGGGGCCTTGCTGGCTTCTAGTCTAGCTGACAAAATGCCAACTCTATGTTTAAGAAGAGCCCTTGTCTTAAAGGAATAGGCACAGCCCAGTGTGGTGGCATACATCTTTAATCTCAGTACTTGGGAGGCAAATGCAGGCTGATCTCTGTGAACCTGAGTCCAGCCTAGACAAGTTCCAGGTAAGCCAGAGCTGTGTAATGACTGTCTTAAAAAAAAAAAAAAATACACAGAGAGCAATGAAGGAGGGTACCCCAAACACCCTATACACACGCATTAATTAATTAATCCTTTGAAAAATTTCATGGGCCTTGTAAAACAGACCAGTAATTCCAGCTACTTGGGAAGCTAACAGAGGAACATGATTTTAAGTCAGGGTGGCTACAGAGATGGCTCAGTAATTAAGCGCACTGGTGGCTCTCAGGAAGACCTGGGTTAGGTTCTCAGCAACCACATGGCAACTGTGCTGGATAGCTTTACTGTCAACTTGACATACCTAGGTTGAGGGAGCCTCAATTAGGGAATTGCCTCTATTGGACTGGCCTGTGGCCATGTCTGAGGGGCATCTTCTTGATGAGTGATGTGGGAGGGCCTAGCCCACTGTGGGTGGTGCTACCCCTGGGTAGGTGGGTCTGTGTTGCATAAGACAGCAGGCTGAACAGGGGCCAGAGGAGCAAGCCAGTAAGCAGCGTTCCTCCATGGCCTGTGCTCCTGCTTCCAGGTTCCTGCCCTGAGTTCCTACCTTGGGCTCCCTGACAAACTGCAACCTGGGAGTTGTAAGCTAAATAAACCCTTTCTTCCCCAAGTTGGTAGTGGTCAGAGTGTTTTGTCACAGTAGTGAAGAAACAAACCAGGACAGCAACTAACAATTGTCCATAACTCTAGTTCCAGCCGCCACTGTCTTCTGGCCTCCACAGGCACTGTATGCACATGATGCACTTATATACATGCAGGCAAAACATTCACACACATAAAAATAAATTTAAGTCCTTCCAGGGCTTAAGAATGAGTTTAAGGCCATCTTGGGAAACTTAGTGATATCCTGTGGAAAATGAAAAGAGGGCTGAGGACATAGTTCCATAGTAAAATATTTACCAAGCATGTATGAAGTCTTAGGTGTCATCCCCTGTACCACACACACACACACACACACACACAAAATGTAGTCACCCCAATAAGACCTCTTATGCTGGGACTGGAGAGAGAGCTTAGCTGTTAAGAGTACTGGCTACTCCTGCAAAGAACACAGGTTCAGCTTCCAGCACTCACATGGCAGCTAACCACCATCTGTAACTCTGGTGTTAGGGGATTTGATGCAGGCAAAACTCTGAATCCCATAATATAAAATACATCCAAAAAGAGATCCCTTATGCTCCCAGACCCAGGCAATCACTGAACTGTTTTCTGTCTCTATAGTATAATTTGCCTTTCCTGGCCACTTTGTGTATATGGAATAAAATAATATGTGGTCTTGTGTGTCTGGCACAACTTAACATGTTATTGAGGCCTTGACACTATTTCGGTGGACAGCTGATAAAACTTGAGTAAGATCTGTAAAATGGCTGGATGACATTCTATCCATGTTAATATCTTGGATTGCAGAACTGTATTTTGGTTCTACTACATAATACTTTAACATTGGAGGATGCTAGGGAAGGGCATGTGGGGTATGTATCACTCCTGCAACCACTTTCCAAGTGTAAAATAGAGGCAGGTCTCATTATGTAGCCAGACTGGCCTGGGACTCCCTATCTTCCTGCCTCAGCCTCCTGAATGCTGGTTATACACATGAATGGTGTACCCTTATTTATACTTACAGCTTAGAGGCTCTGACTGTGCATTGCTGCAAGTGGCCTAGTGAGGTAACATTGTGATTTCTTTTCAACCTCATGGTCCCATAGCCTTTCTACCTGCAAGAGGTCCCTGGTGAACTCAGCATCCAGAAGGTTCTTCAGGGCTATGTAGGGATTGAGATTACAGAGGACATGTTCTGAAGATCTCAGGGAGGAGCTCTTGCTTCTCTGGTGACCGTGGTGCCTTTGGGGTTGGCCCTTTGGCCCACCAGAGGGTAGCCAGACCCAGCAGTCCTGAGAGACTAAGTAAACCCAGAGTGTAGGACATAAGGACCAAGGGACCCAGGGAGGGACCCAGAGGCTGAGAAAGACCCTTGTCCCTGGTGTGGACATCTGCTCAGAGTCTTCCTGAGAAGTTGCTGATGTCAGGCTTCTGCTTCCTGTTGCCAGGCAGAGGGAATGAACTCTGATGGGTGGACATCCAGGCCTGGGAGGAAATGAGAGCTTGGCACTGAGGAGGACCTGACATGTTTGCAGGCTCTGGCTGGGTTTTGACACTCATAAGCAGAGAGAACCTTGAGCATGTCTGTTTGCTGATGGGCATGCAGACAGGCACACCGTTCACATGGGCACATGGGTGCACAGCCTGCCAGTGCCAATTCCAATCCTGGGTAGCAGCCTATGTTCCAACCTCCACAAAGGGAGGAAGGTGGCAGAGTGGACACCCAGTGCAGGAGGATAGAGCTCATGGCATGCCTGTGTCCTGTCCATTCCCCCCATCACTGACCACCAGCCACTGCTATCAAACATTGGTAGAAAGCAGGGACCTGCATAAGGCCCATATCTATCCTTGAGCTTTAAAGTTCCAGCCAGGAGTAATCTGGTTTCCTGGGGGTGCTGACTAGCAAAGGGCACTGGCTATATGGGGTTCTTGGAAGGCCAACAGGGACAAAGGCCTCTGAGAGCACTTAGGCTTGGGGGCAGAAAGGAAGGAGGCTGGTGTATGATGGGGTAGGGGGCTCTCAAGGATGACCCTGATGTGCTAAGACTTCCCTGGTGTGTACAGGCTAGCAGGGCAGGGAGAGCAGGGCATTCTGGAGGCCTCAGACTTGGTAATATGGCAGTTAGTTGCTCTGTGTCCCCCCTTCCGTAGCCTGGCCTGTGCTGGCTTGTGGCCTCCACCAGCTCCCCGACCTATGCATCTAAATCAGTCTCGACTCTGCCACCACTGACCAAACCCACCTCAAACCAGCTTCAACAGAAAAGAGAAGTGACCATTTCACAAGACTGAACAGCCCAGGGGAATACATCAGGCAAGGTTGGCTCCCAAGACTCCATAACGAGAGTCGGCAAGTTCCTGCTCTCTCCCTGCCCTAAGCTTCCTTTCCCAAATGCTAATGAAGTTTCCAGAACTGCATCTTTCCATCTTCCATCAGCCTTGGCTCACATGTCTATACCACAAGCCTGGAAGTGCAGGAGTCAACTGTGTCCAGTGTGGGAAGGGTTGAGCTAAGGAAGGGGAGGGCCAGTACCTTGAGCTAGGTGGGATGCTGGGCAGAAACACAAACATGAAATGGTCCAGGGTCAGAGGTTATGTCAAGTGGGCTGATCTGTCCTGCCAGCCAGGAGGCCTGGGGACAAGTGTTCCCCCGTGACCCAAAGGACTCTTATTTATTGGGCCCATGAGACCGAGGTTGGTGGGTCCTCAAGCTGCCTAGAAGAACAAGGAAGGTCCGTTGTGGCTTAGGGCACTTGGATGCCATCATAAAGCCAAAGGGAGTTGGAAAGGGTGTGTCAGAGCTCTTTGCTACTGAGTAGCCCTGGGTGGGGGTGGGGAAACAGAGTGTGTGTGTGTGTGTGTGTGTTTGTGTGTGTTTGTGTGTGTGTATGCGCGCAAGGCTGGGAGTCCACGAACCTGGAGCAGAGACTGAATCCAGGATGAAGGGGAGGTCTGAAAAGCCAGTTGGAAACTACCCAGGGTACAGGGTCTGGGGAACCTCACAGCTAGAAACACCCAAGGCTGGGTGGGCTGGGGTGGACAACCTGGCCTCTGCTGGCACAGGACTAGGCACAGAAAGGGCAAGAACAACAGGAGGGAAGTGGCCAAGCTGTCCCCAGCGCTGGTTTCTGCTCTCCCTGCCTGGCCTGGCTCCCCGCCTCTTTGAGTATGTTCATCATCGCCCTCTCACCCCGCCTCCACTGCAAAGGGGTGGGGAGGGTGCCACAACTCTTCCTCTCTTGGGCTAGCCTGAGCAGCAGATGAACTTATAAGAACCCTGCAGCTATCCCTGCCACAGTGAGCACCATGAGGGACGACGAAGTGGCTCTTCTGGCTACGGTCACTCTCCTGGGAGTTCTGCTGCAAGGTGAGCTGGCTCCTGGCTCAGGGGGGTGGGAGGAACCTCACACCAGTGTTGCCTGCTTTCTGTCCTTCAGGAGGTAGCAAGGGGTTACTAGCAAGCCCTGGCCCAGGGTGAAGGACAAAGGGGTCTTCTAGCTCAGTTCCTGGTGCTGAGGTCCAAGATCTTCCAGGGCTTCTGGCGCCTTGGATATCAAAGGGCCTGAATCTCAGCTGAGGGGCCCAAACTTTCCTGGGGTGGGTAAAGAGAAGCCCCGAAGGCATATCTACAGCATGAGTGATGGAAACTGCACAGGGGTCAGGGTTTAGAGGGCTAAGCAAGCAAGGGGGACATGAAGGCAAAGTTTGCTGAGGGACCATTGAGGCATGCCTGCCTTAAGCTAGGAGCTGGGGCTTCTAGATCAGTGTTAGAAGTTTAGAGGAGAGCAGGGGCTTTTCGAGGTCTAGATACTGCATGTGACTTTGTGTAATTCTAGGGACTGGGAGGTAGCAGGGCCATGGGCTTAGGACAGAGCATCTCTGCTGAGTTAGGTTGGGAGAGTTCCCAGCTACAGCCATCTGTGAATAGACTGTCAGGTTTAGTGCTGGGTTCATGATGTCTGAACAGAGAAACTGAGACAGGAGCTTATGCCATTGTATGGCAGCGCAGGGACCCAGACCTGAGTGACTCTGGCCTGAGACAGCCAGGATCCCTTCTGGCTGACTCTATAGGTAGGCAACCAGGATCCCTTAAGCCACAGGACATAATTCCTTGCTCCGTGGAGAATACAGCCAGTTTTGTCAGGGGGCACTGCCTACCCAGGATTAAAATGCTGAAGTCCAAGCCTTCAGAACAGGGATGGGCATTTGCCTGTGTTTTGCAAGTCAAATGGTTCAGACCGTTTGTGCTGTTCCTCCAGTTTTCGACTGTTCATCATCCTCCCACACTCATTCACAAGACCACAGGGGTCTCTCCATCCATCCATTGAGCATCTCTAAACACAGGGCAGGTAGGAGGTCAGCTAGGAGGCCCCCCTCGGGAGAGAGTTACAGAGAAGTGGCCAAGGGAGGGGGTGGGAGGACAAAGGAAAGGATGGGGTTACAATGGAGGGTGAACAACGCCTAGATCCGCTGGGCGCCACACCTGACTTGCACCTCCTCTCGGCCCCAGCCTACTTCTCCCTGCAGGTGATCTCCGCCCGCAGGGCCTTCCACGTCCCGCCTCCGCTCACCACCGGCCCTCCCGAGTTCGAGCGGGTCTTCCGAGCTCAGTAAGGGACGGCGGGAGGGTCCCGGGCTAGTCCAGATCAAAGTTGGAGGATCAGCCCCTCGGGCGCGCTCACTCAGCCTACCCCCACCGCAGGGTGAACTGCAGCGAGTACTTTCCGATGTTCCTCGCCGCACTCTGGGTCGCCGGCATCTTCTTCCACCAAGGTTTTGGGGCCGTGCTGGAGAGGCAGGAAGCACACACCGGATCTGGGGAGTTGGGGGGAGCACAGGCACCCAGTCCCCGAGGAAGGGCGGACGCGCCGGGTCATGGAGGGGGGCGCACACACAGGGTCCCCTGAGGACACAAGCACCGGATCCCCGAGGGGGTGCACACACGGGGGGGTCTCCGCTGGGGGCGCAGACAGGCGTCCTCACCACGCTGCCCCGGCCTCTCGCAGGCGCCGCGGCCCTGTGCGGGCTAGTCTACCTGTTCTCGCGGCTCCGCTACTTCCAGGGATACGCACGCTCGGCGCAGCTCAGGTGAGAACTCGCAGGAATGCGGAGCGGGGAAGGGTCGCTCGGGGATGGAGCTCAGATACCCTGCGGGGGTCCAGAGCGCGAGAACTGATTGGAACGCGTCCCGCTCCGGGCACTGGGGTCCGCAGCTGGGAGGGCCTAGCCGGGCGGAGGCGGGGCCCAGGGCGGAGCCTGGGCTGGCCCTGCTTGGGATGGGCATGGCCTAAGGAGCACCTCCTCCATCCTGGACGGGCCCAAGGTGGGCCTAGCCAGATGCGGCAGGACCTAGGCCTGTGGGCGGGGCCTTGGCTTTGCTCCTGCTGAGCACCACCCGCAGGCTGGCCCCCCTGTACGTGAGCGCCCGTGCACTCTGGCTGCTGGTGGCGATGGCAGCGCTGGGCCTGCTCGTTCACTTCCTTCCTGGCACGCTGCGCACCGCGCTCTTCAGACGGCTCCAGGCGCTCCTGTGGATGGCCTGAGATGAAGGACCTCTGGGTTGGTGGAGCTGGAGAAGAGCCTGGAGCACAAAGGAGGGGTGCCAGCCTCCACATCCCAGTCTGTAATAAAGTTCCCATGACCGGTCCTGCCTGCATTCTGTGTTCCAGAGTGCGGCTCACCACGGGTCGGAAGCCAGGAGGGGCTCAGCAGGACAGGGGCAATCAGATGGGCTTTGGGAGGTGACCTGGGCAGGGTGTGATCTCATCCCTTTCAGGTGGTACTCAGCCTCTGCACAGCCTGCATGGCCTATAAGGCTGCCTGAATCCTGAAGGACATTTCAGATAGCCATCCCTCATCCTCCTATCATCTCTCCCCAACCTTTTTCTGTCTTCTCCACTGACCCCCAGCTGCCCTATTCTGTTGTGTCACCTCCTTTCCCCCACACTCAACCCCAACTTCACAACTAGAGCTGGCTGGTCATTTCCCAAGTGAAAGAGGGTCCCAGTTTTTGGTCACACTGGGTTTACAATATCAAAGTCAATATAGATGTTCAGGACACCCTTGCAGAGGCCCACAAAACAGTGGGCATGACCAGAAATGTGCTCAATGATAGGTTCCCTTAAGAGGATATCAGAGTGGCAGGGGAGGGTCAGACATGAAGGCCTACTGACAAAATGTCTCTAAAATGACTTTTAGCCTAGCCTACTAAGGAAGAAAGTTTCCCACATAGGGCCTACAATGTGTACAAAAACCCTGAGGTAGATGGAAACGGCTCATTTATCTTAGGGAAGAAGACCCTATTATTAGTGGTGGCTCATGGTTGTAAACTCAGCACTTGAGAAGCTGAGGCAGGATTGCCACAAGTTTAAGGCCAGCCTGGACTATACAGTGAGTTCCAGGATAGCCTGATCCTGTCTTAATTCCCCTATTCCCTCCTCTAAGATCCTCTTATGGTTTTTAAAAATATTTTTATGTGTAGGAGTATGTATTACCTGCAAGTATGTAAGTGCACCTGTGTTAAGTAATGCCTGAGGAGGTCAGAAGAGGGCGTCTGATCCCCTGGAACTGGGTTTACAAATGATTGTTAGCCACCATATGGGTACTGGAATTGAATCTGGGTCCTCTGCAAGAGCAGCCAGGCTCTTAACTGCTGAGCCATCTCTCCAGTCCCTCCTCTTATGTTTTGAGACCAGTGGAGGAACAGGGCCTTGTGGACCAAGGGAAAAGACAATGAAAACCACCAGAAAGAAGGGGAAACAAAGAAGTTGGGGAACACCTCCCCCCACACACCAAGACACTCAGGAACTCAGGCCTCAGCAAGTAGTTGGGGTGGGTAGCATGGTGCCAGCCCATGGTAACATGTGAACACTTCTGGAGAGCGATTTCTATAGGATGGGGCACCCTTGGGAATCAGATTCTGAGTTACTGACCCTAGTTACTGACTCAGTGGCCAATATACCTTCCTGTTAAGTGTGGATGAGGTCATGTTGAGGTATGCCACCAGAGCACTAGGACACTCATATGGAAAAGGGGGGTTGGGATTCTCAGTCCTTGGCATGATGAGAGAGCTAGCACTGGGTGAGGGTCTCCCAGCACAAGGCTTCCCCTTGCTATCAGCAGGTTTGGGGGAATCATGAGGCTAGGCCAAATTCAGGAAAAGGCAGACATGGAGGTGCCTGGCCAGAGCTGGAAACATTCATATTTGAGACACACACTTCATTAACCCTTTATTACAAGTCACGTTCTTATAGAAGTATATGTGAACTTACGTGAAAAAATCAAATGTATCCAAGAATAAAAAACACAGCACATAAAGTAGTATATGCATTCCAGTGTTCGCGCTGAAAACAGCGGGCGCCCAAGAAAAAGCTCTTCTAAAACAGCCTGGCTCAAACTGACTGGCCAGGGGGGCAAACCGTTCAGTTTTTTTTTGGGCGGCAGCAGGCCGGCCCTCAGGCACAGTGTAGGGGCCGCCTGCCTCCTCCCGCGGCCCGGCGGGCAGGGGCAGCACCAGCTTCTGGGGCCTCCGGGCCAGCGGTGGACCCCAGGCCAGCCCAAGCCAGCTGCCAGGCAGAACCCTCAGATTGAAGTGGATATGCCTAGCCCTCCAGGGGCAGCAGCAGCAAAATCCTCAGAACTGTGAGCTTCAGAGTCAGCCACAGAGCACCCTTGGAAGCCCTCTCTTAGTCAGCCTTTTTCAGGAAGATCTGGAAGAATCAGGCTCAGGGTAAGCATGGGTCTTGGGGATCCTCAAGGTCTGGCTGGCTGGTCCCAGTACCCTGCCCATCTCACCTCACTCAGAATGACCCACACTGGGGAGTCAGTCTGGATGGAGAGGCGCAAGGCTTCCAGGGGGCCAAAGGCAGGGTCCACCTCCCCTTCTGCTACACCCTTGTAGAAGGATCCTACAGGATAGTGCTTAGAGGTTAAAAAAAGCCAAATCCAAATACCCAGGCCAAACAGGACCTGCCTGCTTAGGCCCACTCACCAATCTGAAGATAGCCATCAGGGCTCCTAGGGTACCGGAGAGTGGTGGAGCGGCCCTCCTGCAGGGCCTCCTTCTCGGATTGGGGGTTCTGAGGATGAAACAGCAGGGCTGGAGTGGCTGGCCAGGAGAAGGAGACCAGATTCCACCCGCTCCCTCCACACTCACATCAAAGGGCAGCACCTCTACAGATGTGTTGAAGAGCTTATCTTCTGGGTGCTCAATGTTTCCGCTGCGGAAGAAGAACCTACAGACGCCAAGTAGGCCCATGAGTTGCTGCAAGGGTGGGTACTGCCCAGGGCCTTGCAGAGAGAAGACCAGGCCTAGGCCAAGAATCTACTGGGTGAGCCCCAGGGTGCTGCTGAGGGTCAGGCACCATCACCGGCACTCCATGGTCTGTGCAAGGCCTGAGGTGATGTGTGCCACTGAGCACCCAAAAGTATGCCTGCCTTAGCTCTTACAGGGGAAGAAGTTACCATTATGAACAGTGCTTTTCAAATGAGGAATCAGAGGCACAGCAACAGGGCGTTAGGTAACGGTGAGGGCAGATAATTCCCCAGGGGGCCATAGAGGGTGTTACCCGAAAATATATGCTGAGGCCTATAACTGGTGTTCGCCCTAACCCTGTCCCCAGGGAAACACCGACCTCTCAAGGCGTAGTGGCTGGAAGAAGCGGAATCGGATGAAGTCCCCTGCAGCGGGTGTGAAGGCCCAAAAGAAATCCTCTCGCAGGTAGGCCTTCTCCAGGGTGAAATGCTGGTATGTCTTGAGGCTTGTGCTCACTTCAGCTGGCGGGTTCACATGCTCCTTCCGCAGGATGTGGTGCCTTCCAAAGTCCTTGTCCTAGGAAGGCACAGCAGGCATTAGCGCCACTCTCAGCTCTCCTTCCACTCTGCCCTGCCTCAACTCTGTGGCATACCCCACCTTCAACCTCTGGATCTTGCCCGCCAGTGAGGAGTGAGTGCCCACATGCTGGAAGAGGGACGGCTTGAAGCGGATCCGGAGGTTGGCCTTCTGCCGGTCACAATGCTTCTGTAAAGGGAGAGTGACGCCCTAGGGCTCAGCCCAGCCTCCAAGGACCTGGCCTGTCCTTTGGACAACCAGGGGCTTTACACAACCAGCAGTGCCCTCTTCTTGCCATCAGAGGCATGGCAGGAAACACAGTGTGGGCTGGCAGCTGAGGGCCTGTCTCCCCTGAACTGGCTCCAAACATCCCCTGCTCACCGCATCCTTCTCAGGGTTGCAGACCTTCACCCACAGGATGTGGTCCAGGAGCCAGTCAATGGGCTTGTCCCGGTAGAACATGAGGATGAATTCTACAATCAGGCTCAGGTCCAGGGACTTGAACATCTTCCCTAAGGGTAAGAGGGAAAGGGGCTTTGAGTCGACATCACTACTGGGCCCCACTTCTTCATCCCTGTGGGGCCACATGGAGGGTCTCACAGTAAATCTTCTGGGCAGGCTTCTGGCAGGAATGGGCCCAAAGGACTAGGGCAGGGGCTGGTGACCCTGGGACATCCCCATACAGAGGGCAGTTCTGACAGGCACAAGTAAGTACTGGCACTGAGAGATAGTAGAGAGGGGCATGGTGGTTCTGGAGGGCTGTCATCAGGCCAGTGGGGTCAGCATAGGGGTAGCCCACCAATGAAGCCCAGCTGGGAGAACTCCAGGATCATCCAGTCCTCAGAGGGCTGCTGGAGGGCAAAGTTCTTCATGGTGCTCAAGTAGTTGGGCTTGGCTATGATGTCATCCTCCAGCTGCAGAGGGAGGGGAAAATGAGGTGGGACCAGAGATAGGCACTGGGCAGAAGAGGGTCCCTTACCTAGGTGTGACCATGGCCAAAGCAGGCAAGTTGAGGAGCAGGGAGGGTAGGGCTCACTACCCAGGTCAACCAGGGGCCAGGGTGGGAAAGAACAGAGAAGGTCTCAGGCTGACCTACCTGCACATAATAGATGCCTTTGGACTGTGCATACATCATGAGGAAGCAGTAATCAAGGTTCTGTTTGGTCCTCCACCTGTGGGACAGTGATAGGGGCCTTAGGAGTGGAGATACCTCCACCTCCAGTGGACTATCACAGAGATGCTACTGAGGGGGTGGGCTCCCCTGTTCTGCCCCCCTCCTGCCAGGAAACACTGACAGTGGCTTAGTGATAACAGTGGGCAGATTGCTGGGGGCACTGAGTATAATAAGTACCTGACTCTCTCCTTGGGGTCTCCAAAGGACTCTCGGAGGCGGGAGAAGTCAGGGTAGAAGTGAGGGGAAGGGGAGATGACTTCAAGGAGCCCAGAATGGATCTCCGTGGGGAACCTAGGTGGGGGAAGGCCAGGTGGGTGTGTAGCCTCCAGGGGCTAAAGAGGGGCTGGAGCCAACCAGACCCTCCCTGCCTCCAGTGGCTCACCAAGAAGACAGCCCTTCCCCACTAGCCTAGGGCTCCACAGAGGCTGGGGCTCCCCAAATAGTCCCCCTTTCAACCAACAGGGGAATCCCCTCCCCACAGAAGGTCTTAGGGGGCAGGCACCTGCCTTCCCTCTCTCCAGCAGCCATTCTGGGTTGCCAGTACTCACAAGGCTTTGATGTTCTCCGTCACTGCGGACGTGTACTGTGGGTCAGCCTGTGGGAAGACCAAGTACTCTTTCTTAGCCCAGCTGCCACCCCAAATGGCCTGGAAGGGAGAGGGGCAGGAGTGCTGGCTTTAGATGTCCCCACATACAGGAGTGAGCCTTGTCCTGAGTAAGCACAGGGCCTGGCTGGTCACAAGTACCTCAGAAAAAAAGTTGAGATACACAGGGCAAAAGCCAGGGGTAGGGTGAAGAGGAGGAGATAACCAGTATCTCCACAAGAGGGTGCTAAGACGCTTCTTTCTGCCTTGATAAATTTGTGAATGAAACAGGCACTTCAGGTTGTTCTCTGGAATACTGTTCTATTTGAATGTCTCTTTGATTTGTTTGGCGCTGTGGGTCTTCCCTCCATGTTCCCCCATCCCCAGGCCCTGGGCCACTCACCTCTGCAATCAGCACCACGATGACAGAGTCTTCCTTCTCCTGTGGGCTCAGCTCTGAGATGAGCGAGCGCAATGTATCAGTCAGGTATGAATGCACCTCCCGCCGCACGCTGGGAATGCCCATCACCACGGACACTGCAGGGGCGCGGAGGGGTGACACTGGACAGGGCTCCGGGGACTGCCTCTCTGCCCTCCTCTCGCCCCTCCCGGGCCTTGCCCATACCTCCTGTGCGGCCCTGGCCCACCCGCACCACAGGCTGCAGACTGCTCTCTTTGGCCAGCAGGTGTGGCAGATGGTGGAAGACACTGGGCAGATGCAGCACGTGGCTGTGTGAGACGTTCCACTTCAGTCGAGGGTCTTCTGGGAGGGTCAAAAGGGATGGGTCAGACTGCATGGTCTGAAAGCAGTGCAGGACCAACCACGATTTGCTCCATCCATCCTCCCTGGAGCTCACCTGTTAGACGGCCCCAGGTGTGATTGCCCTCTCCATCTCGCAGGACCTGTCTCTCCGACAGGGTCCTCTTGATCTCATCCAACACCAGGTTGAGCTCCTTGGAGTGCTTCAGGCTCTCCTGCTCGGCCGCATGCAAACGGTCCCGCAATGCCAGAAACTCCCTCTGGTAAATGTCAACCACCTCTCCTAAGGGGTGGGGATGGGGGGAGAGGACCAACAAGCAGGCTGTCACCAGGGGCGGCCTTGAGCAGACCTACCAGTCCCGGCTGTGGGACAGCACATCTGTCAAAGTGCCTGTTCATAACCAAGCTATCTTGGTTTACACCTCAGTCATAGTGAAGTTACACTAATGCTCAGCTTGGGGTAAAAAAGCCCCCAAGGGGATTAGACCACTCTCAGTACTCTCCCTGACCCAACTTACCTCCTTACCTCCTTTCAGGCATTCAAGGTGGGAAGTGGGCAGCCCCAGGCAGGGCAGTGAGGGGCGGGGTGTTGGAACAGCCTCAGACTGAATCCTCTCTCTGCCCACTGGCTCCCAAAGGCCCCTCTTGCTTTTTGCAGCCTGTACTCCTTTCTGGGAGTTGAATGCCCAAAGTCCCATCCAGGGCGCAAGGACACTCTTCCTTAAGAGCTCCTAATCCCTAGACTTTTGCCTCTTCTATCTGCCATTCCCTCCCTTCAAGGATGAGGTGATAGGCAGTCCCATCCCCAAGGCCCTATGGGAACAGCAGCCTCCCTAGACTTTTACTCCCGTTCTCCAAGGACTGAGCATGGGCATAGGGCCTGTGACAGTGTATCCCAGGGGCCCACGCTTCACTCATGGTCAGCACTAACTGCTCAGTCACTGGGTTTCTCCATCTCTTGCAGGCAGTGGGGGTGGCTGCTGAAGTTTCACACACACACCCTCACCCATCCCAACCCACCTCAGATAAGCAGATGAAGTTGACAGACTAGCCCAGGGGTTTGTTCAACCAGTCAGTGGCCTGAGGCCCAGCTCCAAAAGACTGTGCTAGATCTGAGTCACCAAGAGTCTGCAGGCGGCCTGTCAGAGAGCTTCAGCGGACCCAGATAGGGGGGCTGGGAGCCCAGGTGGGACTACCTCAGGGTGGAGAGGACCTGGCCCACTGGTCTAGCAGAGAACAACGTCAAGAGTAATAAACCACATTTCTATGGCTGGGGGCTGGCACGTTCTGCCAGCCTAGGCACTCAACGCCTTTGGCTGGTTTTTGCCCTCTTCGTTTGCTATCATATATACCCTTTCTACATTGTCAAATGTCTAGCTTCTACACAAGCTATTTCTTCTAATTCTCCTCATCTGGCTTTTGACGGCCTCCTCTCTAAGTCTAGGAAGCCTTCCAGAACTCGTCTCCTATACCCAAGCACCAAATCCATTTCCTGCTTCTTGGTGGCCAAATATCTCCAAAGGGCCTGGGAACAGAGTTGTCCGTAAAGCTCAGTATACAAAAGGTGAGGATCAAGGAAAGACAGTCACTTCAGGACATACCTCCAGAAAGGTACACGTGCTTACTTAAATTCCCAGGGAAGGAGGAGTTTGGGGGACAGAGGGAAGAAAAGCCAGTGGCCCTCAGGCATCCCTTACCTAGGACACAGTTCACACCTCCCCCCAAAACATACCCTGCCTCACCCAGGGCTAAAATCCCAGGCCACACCCAAGCTTCTGGACAACCCCACAGGGAGAGGAAGGAGGTATCAGGTTACAGGATCTGTGAGGCTCAGAGCTGGGCTCAGGGGCCTAGTTACCCTGGAAACCTGACCCCTTGAACACTGAGCAGTCACCCCCAGCCTCACCCTCCCAGCCCTGGGCTGCACCAACAGCAGACAAGGCTGGGGACTGGAGGTGCCCAGGCCCCCTCAGAGCCAGCCAGAAGGTGGTCCACAGCCGCCTAGACAGGCAGGTGCCTCCCTGAGCATGAATAAGAGGCCCCTGTCTTTATAGTGGAACTAAAGGGCAGCCTTTGCCACTAACTGTATCCCAAGCAGCCCTCTGAGGTCAGGCCATAGAAGGGGATGGGGGACTCACTGCTCTGACTCTTGCCCTTGGTTCTGCCAGATCTACTCTATTCTGGAAGTGGGCCAAGCTCTGTCTATATTAGACTGCCCCAGGTAGGTTATGGTGAGTGGCACTGTCCTGAACCACTCTGGCCAAGCAGCCTTGGGCATAGCTTCTTCCCTCTACCGGCCTCCCTTTTCCCCAGAGCCTCTGCTTTGTGTTTACCAGCAGGTGATGATCCCCTTTGCGTTCCTGGCCCTCACTGCCACCCACGCCAAACCTGCTGTCATTTCTCTGATCCTAGCAGGCCCTGTCCCTCAGTGGCCCACCACACTCTTCTGACCCTGCTCTGCCTGATGCTGCTGCTGCCCATAAGAGCCTGGCTTCACTCACTGGCAGTGCCTTATGTCTTTGTACCCTGCAAAGCCATAAATTCAAACTGTGTGATTGCCTCCCCATGGGCTGTGCTTTAAACTACGGGTGGGGGCCCATCAGACCACCCTGGCAACTCCAGTAGTGGACTGGTGGCAAGGTAGGTCAGTGACCAGTGATAAGGGCCTAAGGAAGTCTGGTCTCTGGGTGGGTGAAGCTGGGGAGCATGGCTCCCTAGAAACCAGAGGACTTTCAATTCCCATCCATTCCTTCGTACCCCAGGGAAACAGGGTGGAGCTCGACAGGGGACTGCAGCTAATGACAGCAAAAGTAGGCTACATAGCTAAATGGCCCATGATGCCTGGAGGCTTTCAATCCATCCCTGACAAGCAGAATGATCAGGATACCCTGAGGCCTAAAAACTACTACATTCTACTGGGTTCCCTCAAGGCTGAAAAAACAGATTCCTGAGCCAAGATGGGGTACAACCTTGTGTACTGTACTTAGAGAAGGTGAAACAGGTTCAGAGGGCCACAGGCAGATGCTAGGCACAGCCAAAGGTCTGCTGTGAACCTACAAGAGGGCAAGAGTTAGAGGTGGAAGAGAGGTGCCCATGTCCTTTCCCAGGCTTTGTAACAGGACTCCAAGAGGGGTCTGTTGTTGTTGATGTCCAAGTTTGGTAGAACAGCCTGAACACTGGAGAGGGTTGTGGGGAATCCGCCTCCCCTCAAGTAGGTCCTTAGCAGATACTTGGCTGAGGCTGCAGTTTAAGCTCTGCAGAGCGGTTTCACAAATATAGCCAAGACTAGATGTGAACTTGGGAACCTAAACTCTCTTCCTGGGTTCACCTGGCAGAATCAAAGTCCTTCCTGGTCTTAACCCAGTCTTCTAGGATACTCCCTGCTCCTGCTGTCCCCTTTCTCTCTGGCTCCCTGCTGACATCCTCCCTTCCGGTTCTTTTGCCTTTTCCCCTAACTACTGGGCCATCTCATGAACCCCATATCTGCTGCTAACTGGAAGCCAGCTCCAATCCGACAGCTGACTGGCTGAGCACAGCTTCACTATATGAGTCTGATAGAGCTATCGGCATGGAAGAATGAGGGTTCACAGAACAGCCCAGATTCTTGACTTTTCTTGAGGCCTCCAAATATCTGGCCTTGCTGAGCCCCCACAAAAACAGTACAGGTCACCACTACCTTCTCCATGCCCACAAGGAGGAAGAACCCCTGGATCTAAGCTCTCCTGCTCCGCAGGTCCTCAGAGTACAAGCCTTGTTGCTCCCTCAGACACTTGGGGCCCTAGGTAGAGCCATCCTTGTCCCCTTCGCTCCTTGGCTACTCCTTGTAGTGAGCCAGGCTCCCAGAAGAGGTGTCTGGGTAGCCCTGTGGCTGCCGCAGGAGACACACAAGACACACCTGGGGATGAGGCCTAAGGGGTCACAGCCCTACATACAATGGGGTTGACCTTGACCCAGTTCTTTAGACATGGCTCCACTAAAGTCTCCATCCTACTCACCTTTCATGGTCACTCTCTCAAGGGCTCAAAATGTCTTCCCCTGCATGACATACCCCTACCTACAGAGACCACTGCCCTGGCTATGCCCTCCCCAGATAGTAATTCTCCTCCCATACCATATGTACCAGGCCCTAGGGAAATTGCTCCCCCAGGCCCCAAGGTTAGCTCAGACCTCCACTAAAACAGGACAAGTGCAGAAGGCTGGGCTGGGCTGGGCTGGGAGGAGCCTGGTGAGTGCCGCTGGACTTGGCCTTCCAGGGCCAGCTCCAGATCCATGCCCCCTTCTACCCCGCTCCAACTCCCCCACTCATCTAGCATAGTCTTGGGGAGGGAGGGAAAGGTCTAGCTTGCTTCAGCCTGATCAGACAGGAAGACCAGGAGGCCTGCCCAGGAGGCAGGAAGGAAGGAAGCAGCTTTTCCTAGAGTCTCCTGAGCTCAAACTGGGGTGGATCAGGGCCTCTGAGGGCCCCAGGCCCCACTCAGTTCAGTTCCCTCAACCTCTGTTGAGTGACTCCTAATAATGCTAAACCTGTGCCCCTCTATTCGCAAGCGCCCTAGCCAGGCTAAGGCCATAGTGTAGACTAGCCAGCCTGCTCAAGCTTCAAACGTCTATCAGGGAGTTGAGGTGGGTCAATGAGACCCCATAAAGTGATCCCATTGCCAGTTCCTGGGCTAGCTGTTCATGGGGCCCTCCACCTGGCTATCTAAGGTTATCTGCAGAGGAGTCCTGGGGCCGGCGGGGTATGAGGGGGCTGCAGGTCCCCGGGGAGCAGCAGACACAGGGGCAGACCTCCAGGAACAATGAGTGATGGGACACAGGGATGAAGGGTTGTGCCTGAACATCTGGTACCCTTTCACCTGTCTCAACAACACTGTCCCTCCTCCTCTCCAGATCCCAGAGCTGGTTCCCTGGGTCCATCTGGTTACTGCTACCTCTGTGACCTTGTGTCTCTGCCCCTTTGTGAGAACTCCATAGTTCTTAACTTGCCAGTGGGAGCGACCGCCCCTGGCATGGGGATAACCGTTTGCAGAGGCCAGTCCTAAGCGCCGCACAGAGGGTGGAGAGGTACCGGACGCCGCCCGGCCCCTGGATCCGCTCCAGGCCGGAGAAGCTCCTAAATACCAACAGCAAACAAGTGGGGGCGAGGGTGGGAGGGGCTTCCTCCCGCCTGCCCTGCCCGGGCTCCCGCACAGCCTCGCCGCCCAGGTGCAGGGAGCGCGGGGTGGGGGGGCTCACCTTTCTGGCCGCTGAGCCCCGCGTACCAGGACAGCGAGAGGAAGGCGCACAGGCAGAACAGCAGCGTCAGGAAGGTGCCATTGCGGAGCCTCATCTCCCCAGGTGCGGCGGGCGCCGGCGGGGCCGAGGCCGCATGGCCCGGGGGACCGGGGCCGGGGCACGGGGGCCGGAAGGCGGCGGGGGCCCCG